CATGAGCGGCTTAGGGCGGGGAAAATCATCCGTCACTGACGGTGGCGTCATAGACGCAGATGATGCAGACAATCTTCTGCTGCAGGTGCTCTAGAAGCGCGTTTTCGTAATTTGAAGACACCTCTAGACGCGCACCGATTGCCTCGGGACCTTACGCCAAGCAAGGACATCAGCTTTTAAGCCCGTTTTGCATGCCCTGGGGCAAAGAGGAAAATTGCTCTATTCTCACCGAGGATCAGTCGTAACGACTCAGGTGTAAATTGACTACAAGTGCTACCAAGTGCAGCTGGGTTGTCGTAGTTTTGCGCTTAGAGGAAGCGCAAGTTAGGTCGCCATCCTTTCATACTTAGAACAAGTACGAATTTAGCGGATCGCAATCCGCTTACTCCAACAGTAATTACAAAATTTAACCCAAAGCTAACTAACCCTTCCGTCTAAATTTAAAATCTGAGTTTTTTATTTTAATTTGCGGCAAAGCCGCCTAATTTTAAATGCATAGATTTTCCTGAATATGTATAGTAAAATCTAAATACATGCATAACTACTGGCTATCCAGCGCAGTCACACCATACCTATCTCGTGTGACACACACCCCTGTTACCAGGATATATGTAACCCCGTTACAAAAAGTCTTCGCTCGCCCTGCCACTTTGTCTTCATGCCACAACATATTTCTAATAACTACGTCAACCATCAATATTGTGACGAGGAAAGATATCGCTTTCAGATATATTCTCAAGGTAATAGCAAGTGTCTTGAGAAAACACTGAAGTAATTCAGGTGGCAGATTTTCCTCCCATCGACGCTTACGATGGTGCTGCGTATAATTGTCACTTCTAAAAGGCGAGGCTTCAACTGTCCACGATGTTGACAAATTCCTGGTAGCACCTTAGCGATCAAAACATATACAGATCTGACAGCTGGCGGCGACGACTTGGGACGACTGCAGGTCAAAGGCGGTCAAGCGACCATTTTGACCGAGTTGGAAACCAAATACGGATTATATGGACTGTATGTATTTTGAAAGATTACATCAACGATTTGCCTGTCTAGTTGGAATCAATTATTCAACAAAGTGTTGAGGTCAGTTTTCGATAAGATTTTTTCGAGTATTTTTCTTTTGATAAACTGATCGTGTACCATTAACAACATTGAAGTTGTGCAGGAGGATACTCACCTATGACATGACGTAGACAGATATACCAAAGCCGCTTTCAATCACTTTAAAGGCAGATGGGCAGTTCGGTTATTTTAAAGACTTTACCTCAAATGCATTCCTGATACGCGAAATAGATTAATCACCTATTCTAATACTACTTAAGCCTTGACGACTTGCTTTCGACGATGGCGCATAACGAAGGCACCTGAGCTACCTAGTAGCACACCCAACACGATAGCAACGATAAGCACCGGAACCATCGAATCGAGTAGTGACACGACCGATTTGTAATTGTCCACCAGGGAGTCCGATATGGTGGATCCCTCCTCTCCCCAATATATAGGAATCAGTACTTCCGTCTCTAGCTTTGGGTGCAGAACGTCACTCATGGCAAGCAAGTTGTCGCTGGCGGATGGTGATATAGCGTACGATGCCATTAAGCGCTTAAGAGCGCGCATGGTCTTGCCCGTACCAGCCTCCATGTCAAGGAACGTCTCGTATTTGGACGAGTATCTGGTCTCAAGTTTGCCGGCACTATCATATAGCGTATCTTGACTCACTTCGACACCATCGTTCATTGTAATTTGCACATTCGTCGTCAGCGACTCATCGCCGTACAAGAACATTGGGAACGACAAATAGGCAAGGAATCCGGCAATAAACGCCATACTCTGCACACCGTCGATGGGATAGCCTGTGCCCATGTCAGCATTTGTAGCAGTCATTGATAGTAAGCTGGTAGACGGTCGGAAGCGGTGCAACGTAATGTCTTTATACTTGACCTTCTCATGTTGATTTATAATAGACACATTTTGACGTCCTTGGCCCATATAGAAATTAAAACTGGTAAGAGGAATGTCGTCCTCGAAACCGGAAATGCTGACGCCGCCTGGAGCGATACTAGTGCCGTCGTTTCCAAAAACAGGGTTGCATGTCATGTTTGACGTCGGAGCTGCACAGTTACCGTAGGAAGAGAAGGCGATCAATTCCGACAGTGTCGGATTTCGACGTTCGCCTAAGTCAACCCACAAGGCGCTGGTCTTGTAGCCATCAAACTGTTCAAACTCGTTGATGTAGTCTCTGTCATCGCAGCCCGTGCGCTGTATGTATGTGCCTAGAATTGATGCATTGGGAGCTTTCTGCGAGTAGTCACGGCCACTTGACTCAACAAGTCCCGGAAGTGGTGCAGCGCACAGACCCACCGTATTGCAAAGCTGGCATGTACTCGCAACAAAGTCAGTAGCTTCTTCGTCACCATATGCAGAGGCGTAAGTGGCCGCAATGGTCGCACATGTTTCATCATTGATGGATACAACATATGCACCACGAGCACATCGATTGCACTCGCCCCAAATCGAAAGACAATCGGGATTGGTACTGGTACCACATGCGGCACATTGCTCGTTAAACCCCCCTTTAACAGCGCACCTATTGACGTAGTTGGCGCCAAGACCCAAACCAGCGAGTAGACTGGGATATCCACCTGCCCACTGCGAGATTGAGCGTTTAGCAAAGAGACCGTTGTAAGCGAATCCCGAGAGGTTCATGTTGGCAATAGCAGTCGGTCCAGTGACCAGAAATGTCAGTACAGCGCTATTATTGGTTACCGTTTGCATGGCCTTTGGGTCCAATGAGTTTAAACCGTTGACCCAGCGCATCATCTGCTGGCCATGCTTGGCCACCAAGCTCCTAGCTGTGGTCGTGTTGCCTCTGGCAAACGATCCAAGTGCTAAGCGCATAAGAAAAGATCGTTCTCCACCAGCAGCTGCGATAACACTCATGTATCCCATGTCCAAAGCTACAGCTTTGTCGCTGGTGGAGCATCCTTTGCAGCTCAGGGACGGCTCGTAAGTGTGGTATGTGTATTTTTTGTAAGAAACACGGTTGTTGTCATCAAAAAATCTTACGTCGACTTTAATTTCGCGACGGCGATATGCGTATGGACCCATTTCGCGCACATTGAGAGTGTCGGCGTCTCCGGCAAGATATGATTCGGCATTAGTTGCATTCATCATGTATAGTCTGAAGTAGTATGGCGTGCAGTCTTCACAATCGCCGTAAGGGTCAATGTAGTTCTCGTCTTCTCCATCTGACGGTTTACAAGTCACGACGCCGTCCTTGACGGCATTATCAATTACAGCCGGTAGGATTGTGTCGTAAAACAAACCAATCACTGCAAGGATGGCACCCATCAGGATGAGCCCCAAACCGAGAGAGCAACACAGACAGCGACGCTGGGGACGGACGGTGTCCCTCTCTAAGTATTCGGTCTCCAAGGAGGTAGCCATGAGATTATTGAATCCGGCAAACAAATTCAAGACTGATCTGCTTTCTGGGAATGCGGGAGACTCCGTGATTTGTACATGGTTGGATGTCTTCTGAGCCTACATATGGAACGTGCCTTCACATGTGAATATTAAAATTGTTATTTTGTCAACATGAACATTTTATGTACATTACACATCTTTAGATCAGCATCATAGTATGATAGTTTTCATATGAATGACTTTTAGACTGGATATATTTTTGAAAAATTGAATTGTCACAATATCGAATTCGCTTCATCATTTTTGCCGGGTTCTCAATCAAATTTTCTACATATTTTAATCATTCAGAAAAATTTTAAATTTAACATTTTTTAAGCTATCGGGGAAAATCAGTTGTAACTCATCGAATGATTGACTCGGTCGATGCATTCAATATAGCGACTTGCTTATCACATGACGAGAAATTAATGTTCTGCTTGCAATTAATTAAGAAGCTTACTAAGTTGCCTTCGCCTCGTATCGTGTCCAAGAAAAGCTGTGAGCCTAATTTGACATGCTTTAGATTTTGTGGAAATGCGGTCTGTGGAGCGTTCATAAACCAACATGTATTTTTACTTCTACAATTCTCTTATATCGTTTCTCAAATGTCCAATTTCATCTTAGAAGGTACAAAGTCACCACTTATCAAACCAATTTCCGAAACATTTATTTTTTTAAAGGAAGCAAACGGCAGAGACAAAACGACGAAGCAAACAGAGATCTTAAAGCGACCAACAATAGCCCAGCCGCCCGACTTAGGGCTCAGCAACAGTGCTACTAACCAGCAGGAGCGCCGCCACGACCAACTGCTAGGCAGCACCCAGCGCCTTCTCAACGAACTCGTAATTAGCCATACCTAGACATTACATAAATAGTGGTACGCATTTGACGTGCGTTGTCGATACAAATAACAAAGGAATATAGTACGACCGATCTCACATGCTCGTTTGACATCATCCAATGATGTCACGAATGTCCTCTGTACTGATGAGTACTGATGAGTACAGAATGATGGCTCCTACTTGGTAATCTACACTGGTGATTAGGCCGACGTGTCTCAAGCGAGTGGTGGAGGCCATTCGCGTTGCGTGAAAAGCTCCACGAAGACTTCAAGACCAAGTCTTTCAAACTTTTCCTGTGTGCAAAATCAGTGTACTCAAAGTTATACATATCAGACTCAAAAGTTCATTAGGGATATACATATAACCTCTGGAGCCGTAGTGGATTTGTCCATGCAGCTTTAGAAACCATAATCTCTTTTCAATACAGTTTCACTTTGACCGCATTACTGTCAAGTCTTCCTCCTCAACACAAACGTGCGTATCGCTCTCTCAAAAGTTTTTTACATCTGATAGAACTTTGTAGTATTTTCAACGACCAAGTTAAGACTAAGTTTTGTCCTCTTGTGTAGCTTGCGCGGGAACTTAGAAGCCGATGGCCCGGTGCCAAAAGATAGTAAAACTGCTCAATGAGCATTTCCCTCATTAAGTTCACCATGCGTGGGCAGCTCTCGAGCGTATGCGTGAAGGTTTTGGTCAGGCGGCTAGCTGAGATCAGCGTCACAGGATAGGAATGCGGCTGCGAGCTTCATGCATCACGATATCATGAGTATTCGCCGACAGCCCGCAACACTAGTCATGACACCGAAACTTCCTTCTCCGAAGCTCAGTGTATCTCGGTATCGTTGCGGAGAGAGCGGATGTTTGGCGAGATTGTGCATGGAGTTGGACGCAGAGTTTGCTACGACACAGCTCGCAGACCCATTGCAGAAAGTGGTATTTTTGACGACTAACTTTGCGGGTCGATCAAAAACCTCATTTTCGTTAACATCAACCAATGAATGTCTCAGCGTAAGTTTTGACCGTTGTGGCAGGGCCCAACGACGATCCGATTGGAGACCAGCTGCTCCGCGATTATCCAAAGACGCTAAACAAGCCTATCGAGTGTACAATGCAAGAAGTATTTACATCAAGCAACCCTAGATTAACGGCTACATCGCTTACTTAACACGACAACAAGCAGCACCGTGTGATGCTCAGAACCGTTGGACATTTCGGACTTCGATGCGACCGACAACAGATAGCCACGCAAAGACGGAAAATGTTGCTGCTGCGGCGGCAAGCCCGCTCATACCACGAGGGATTCCAAGGTGTTATTGCTTAGCCAGCAACTGACACATATTTTGCGATCAAATCGGCTGTGCACTCCAGCGCTACCATCAGTAAAAAAACGAACAATGAAAAGAAGCAAGGCTGTCTACTGGGCGAACGAAGAGTTCTGTGGCTGTCGTGGAGGCGCAGAAGTCTTGCCTCGATGTGCTAAATGCGCATAAATTCAGCGTATGACGCAAGAGCCGACCTTGATATTTCACACGATTAAAATAGACGATTTTCAGAATTTTTACCGACTCTTGTAGAAATTGGTGCATTGAACAAGTTTGTCCAAGCGGCGAGAAGGTAAGGTTTAGACTTGCCTAAGTTGAAATAATAATTTATCGGTCGCCTGGCACTCAATCTTGATGACGAGCTCGATCTGATTCTGGGAATGCTGTGGTCGAGAAGATACCATCCGAGCATTAAGTGGGAGAAGAAGATTATAGCCGTTGGCAAGCAAGTTAGCGAAGAACTTGGTGACTTCGCATCGAGTGATGTTTTTTTGTCATATGCATCTTTCTAAACTGTGTTTAAGAAAAGTAAGGCTCTCACATTCAAATTACAAGCTTGTGAAGGCCACTGGAGGTGAATTTATCAGACGTCAGAAAACTATTACTTTTGCGGTCAATAGTGATGCGATATTAGAGTGAAAGAAAGGTCTAGCCAAGAGGGACGAAGATCTACAAGCATCCTTGATTGAGACATATGAAAAGCAAAAGATGAAATGATGAATAGCGAATCATTTCAAGCAATTATGTGTCGACAACGAAGATGGTGACAGCAAAATAGTATGTCACGTACAGTTTGGAAATCTCTAAAGTCTGTTCAAAAATAATTTTTCTTGCTTTCGATAAGCAAAATACGTTTCAGCGTAGCCTGGCGAAAGGCGAAATTTTGCAAATATTTGCGATCGTCAGAGAGGCTATAGACGATTTCATCAACACGGAGGAAGTAGTAGTTGAAACTACACATTGATGAGCAGTTGTGCGGCGCTCAAAGACCAAACCCCGGACGATTTACCACAGGACGAAGGCATTCGTCACGTGATAGATGTATTTCCGGTATCAAAGTACTTCATCACAAGATAATGGCCGCAATAAAAAGAAGTCGAAGCAAAGGCTGGTCATGTACGTGAAAGCTAGTCTTTGCGCTGTAGTCCCACATACTATGTAAAGAACGCTAAGGTGGTCGGCACATTGTTCACGCTTTCAGCATATCAAATAATATGACTATACCTGCACAGATATATCTTCCATGAAAGGTCATGATGCCTCGATGAAGTGGTTGGCAGCTGAATTTAGCGCTAATGATATAATAGATCGTCTAGAACAGATAAGTAGACTGGTGTGCCTCCTATCGCAGTAAGCACCCCTTTTGATATGCAGTGGGAATGAAATGTTACGCCACAAGGTCTGAAAAACGCATCAGTGGCTTCACTGAATTGAAATCAATGTACTTCATAGATTGAGCAATTTGGTAACGACCTACTTTGACGACATTTTCGTTTACAGTAAGGCTCCGGGGAGGAAGAAAGATGTTGATGTCCACCATACACATCTTCGTCAAGTATTTAAGATATACAGAAGTAAAAAAGGTCATCTGGTTGCTTTGTTGGCATTAATGGCGTTCGAGCTGCCCCTGCGAGAGTCAAAGACATAAACGATTAGCCGATTCCTCAGAATGTAAATCAACTATGTCATTGGTTGGCAGACAAATGCACAAATATACACACAGTTATTCTGCATTGGTGAAACCGCTCATGCGTCTTTAGATTGAGTAAAAATGGCCTGAGGGGCATCAGATAGCGTCTGCAGAAGTGAAGTAGAATCATGCAAAGCTTCTGTCTTAACTCGTGTCAATGTATTTGACACAACATTAAATTTATGTCATGAGGTGTGCACTGATGGACTTCGATGATGAGACAGAAATTTCTTTTACTTTATCATTCACAGCGAATAGGTAACAATTCTATTCACGACAAAGAATATTTGACCGTGAAGTACGTTCCGAGTCTATTTGCGTGGCTAGGATCAGTTCGCTAGTTACAGTTGTTACGCATCGCTGTGGACTGCTGCAAAAATATCTAATGAATGTAAAAAAATCCTTCTTTGCAGAGCTCAGATTTGTTGTTTACTATAAACTTCACAGATCAAACAATCTTGCTCTTGTGCTGTCTAGACGTACGGATTGTGATCCGAATGAAATAAGTGACAACGCGAACGATGTGTGTCGACTCTGCGGGGACGTCAATGCGATCGCCTACGCAGAACTCAAAAGAGGTCCAGCGAGGTTGTCGTCTCTAACGATAAAAAATTCGCTTCACAGAC